TACAATACTGATTAGTATCGTAGAATTGAAGAAGCTCTCAGAGAGTTGTACTGTAGAGTTTCTTGGCGTTGTGTGGCATGTAAAGTTTGCACTCTAATTACAGCTATGCAGCATGAATATGCCATGCGTGTCTTTATTGAAATTATTCTTCAAACAGAAATGTGCTATTGCCAAAATATATCCCAATAATCAAACAATAATCTTCCTTAAGTACAGGTAGTCCTTGACTTCTGACCATTTGTTTACTGATTATTTGAAGCTACAACAACACTGAAAAGAGTACATAGAACATAGAATAACAGAGTTGGAGGGGACTTTGGAGGTCTTCTAGTCCAACCCTCTGCTCAAGCAGGAGGCCCTAGGCCTAGGCCTAGACCATTTCAGACAAATGGCTGTCTGGTCTCTTCTTAAATATCTCCATTGGAGCATTCACAACTTCTGGAGGCAGGTTGTTTCACTGATCAATTGTTTTAAGTGTCAGGAAATTCCTCCTTAGTTCTAGGTTGCTTCTCTGTTTGATTAGTTTCCATCCGTTGCTTCTTGTCCTGCCTTCAGGTGCTTTGGAGAATAGCTTGACTCCCTCTTCTTTGGGGCAGCCCCTGAGATATTGGAACACAGCTATCATGTCACCCCTCATCCTTCTTTCCATTAGACTAGACATACCCAATTCCAGCAACCATTCTTCATATGTTTTAGCCTCCAGCCCCCTGATCATTCTTGTTGCTCTTCTCTGCACTCTTTCCAGAATCTCAACATCTTTTCTATATTGTGATCAGAACAGGATGCAGTACTCCAAGTGTGGCCTTACTAAGGCTTTATGAAGCGGTACTAAAGCTTCACGTGATCTTGATTTTGTTAAGACAGCCTAGCACTGGGTTGGCCTTTTTGGCAGCTGCAGCACACAGCTGGCTCATATTTAAGTGATTGTCCATTAGGACTCCGAGATCCCTTTCACAGTTACTGGCATTAAGCCAAGTTTCACTTAGTCTGTTGATTTTTCTGGCCTGAGTGTAAGTATCCTTGCACTTATGACTACTGCAGCATCCCCACAGTCTTTTGACCATAATTCGGGCACTTGGCATCTGACATGTATTTAGGACAGTTGCAGTGTCCTGGGGTCGAGTGATTCCCGTTTGCAACCCTCCCAGCCAGCTTTCCACAAGGGAAGTCAATGGGAGAAGCCTGACTCACATAATGACTGCTTGGTTCACTTAACAGGTGCAGTGATTTTACTTAACAACTATGCCAAAAGAAAGTCGTAAAATCAGGCACAAATCACTGGTAAAATGGAGCAAAATGTACCGTACTTAACAACTGTCTCCCTTATGGTCGTAAGTTGAGAACTACCTGTATGCCCTCTTTGCCTTCCTGTCTCAGGACTGGATTATTTCCTAAGGCTTTCATACCGTGGCATGTTCTCAGGTGCTCAGCAGCGATGGTTGGATTCATATAGTTTTACTTTGTATGGGAACAGCACATTAAAGTCATCTCTGTCTTCTGGTTAAGCAGAACAGTTCATGCAGACTTCCTTTTAACACAACATACCCAAAAGATGAAATATCTAGGGTTGCTGAGCCACACCAGGTGATATTAAAGAAAGAATGTGATTGTTTCACTGCAGGTTTTTTGAACATATCACAGCCCTAAACTCCATTTTCCTCCCCTTATCTGCTGCCAGCCAATATCCTTTCTTCTGTTATTACTAATTTTATAATTCTGATGCGAGCCCTGTGGGGGCTTATTATAACCTAATATTCCTGGTTATCTCTGTTTAGAAGATAGGAATAAAAAAAGTCTTTTATGTCCCCCAATAGGCAACAGCAACAGTAAAAAATCTTTGAATAAGGTTCAAACGTGAGGTTCAGATCTGCCAAACATGGGGGAAGTGAGCACAAGCAACATAAGTTCGGATGAATTAGAATTCCAAAATAATAACACACCCACACAACATAACTCTAGGTTGATACATATTAATTTCAGTTAAATAGGGAGATTGAGCCTTGACTACAAGAATGGCATTCAGAAGAGGAGAAACGTGAATATATAAGTGTACTGCAGCATAAGATATCAAGCAATTGCACCATAAAATTCTATATTTTGTTTAATATGTACTGGCTTTTAACCATAGCAAGTTACTATTAAGCTGGGAAGAAATGAAGGTTCTGTAGCTTATATGTTTCACTGTTACTGCTATTAATAATGATTTCTTTATCATTTCATATGTGTGGATACAATAGGTGTTCACAAATCAGACAAAAACAGAAGAGAGTTGGAAGGGACCTTGGAGGTCTTCTAGTCCAACCCCCTGCTCAGGCAGGAAACTCTATACCATTTCAGACAAATGGTTGTCCAATTCCTTCTTGAAAAGCTCCAGTGTTGGAGCACCCACAACCTCTGGAGGTAGGTCGTTCCACTCTAGGCCCCTAATCATCTTTGCTGCTTTTCTCTGCATCCTTTCCAAAGTCTCACATCTTTTTTTGTATTGTGGAGATGGATGCAATATTCCAAGGCTAGTCTTACCAAGGCATTATAAAGCGGTATTAATACTTCACATGATTTTAATTTTATCCCTTTGTTAATGCAGCCTAGAACTGTGTTGGCTTTATCTTCTAATATTTTCTGTTCTCTCCATAGAAGGGCATAGCTGTCTGTCCTAAATGACAGTGAGAGAGAGAACTGTTGGGTTTAAATAAAGGAGATAGATGCTTCAGTTATGAAGGTTGGCTAAAACACCCGCTGGGTGGCGCTGAAGCATCACACATACAAAGCTTCAGGATTTCCTCATGGTATATTTCAGGATGAAGATAATCCTTTTAAATCTATACAGACATAGCTTATTAACATGCTGATATTTTCCCCCCCAGCTTCCTTGAGCTGAGCAATCATGTGGAACAATGCACATTACTTCTCTGAAGAATGCATGCCTTATAATCGTAAAAGGTCTGTTAGAGTGCAGTTCACATGGCGAAAATAAGATTTTAGTTGCTATGTTTGTCAGGAGGTTAATAGTTAGATTCTACTTCCAGGCAAGATGCTGCTACCACCCGTAAATCACAAAGGAATATTATTGCTCAGAATTGAAAAGCAGTGATTCCATAGGCACCATTCCTTCAGTCCAGATGTTCTAGGGCAGGGGTGGGGAACTATGGCCCTTTTATGACTCGTGGAGGGGAAAGAAGAGGTTTCCAAGCTGAGCCATGCTGGCTCAGGAATTCTGGGAGTTGAAGTCCACGAGTCATAAAAGGGCCATAGTTCCCCACTGTCATTCTAGGGCAGGGGCAGGCCACCTTGGCTCTTTTGTGACTCGTGGACTTCAGTTCCCAGAATTCCTGAGCCAGCCACGCTGAGGGGAAAGAAGAGGTTTCTAAGCTGAGCCATGCTGACTCAGGAATTCTGGGAGTTGAAGTCCACGAGTTATAAAAGGACCATAGTTCCCCACCGTCGTTCTAGGGCAGGGGTAGGCAACCTTGGCTCTTTTGTGACTCGTGGACTTCAACTCCCAGAATTCCTGAGCCAGCCATGCTGAGGGGAAAGGGAGAGGTTTCCAAGCTGAGCCATGCTGGCTCAGGAAAAGACCCTCAACTTCAGGTGCTCAGTATTTCTCCGGATCCGGATCCGGTCTCCATCCGGTGGAACCGAGAAAATACTGAGCACCTGAAGTTCTCCCAGAATTCCTGAGCCAGCCATGCTGAGGGGAAAGGGAGAGGTTTCCAAGCTGAGCCATGCTGGCTCAGGAATTCTGGGAGTTGAAGTCCACGAGTCATAAAAGAGCCAAGGTGGCCTACCCCTGTTCTAGGGGATTGTGGATTGTTAAGTCTCGCACAGTTTGCCCATGGACACGCTCTCTCTCTTCCATTTCCTTCCTAGCCTCCCCAGGGATGGTGAAGCTTTGTACATGCAGAAACTACCTGCTTTTTGCTTCAGATCTATGTTCTGAATGTCACATTTTCCAAACTCTCTTGTAATAAAGAACAAAGCGGGAAAAGCCTACAGTATATCTCTACAGAGCTCAGTGGGTTTAGCCTTTAAAAAGATAAAATGCACAGATGTTACTTTGAGAATTTCAATGGGACCACCAAGCCTTCTTTACTAATGTTCTCCACACACACCCCAAAGGAAAAAGGATAAAGAATTTAAGAATTTTCCACATATCAGCCAGCACACACTAGTGTGTTGCTTTATTCTTGCGGTTTACAGTCAGACCTATTGTAATGTCCTCTCTCTCTCTCTCTCTCTTTTGTGTGGCTTTTAATAATTGTCAATTATTGGCTTGTGTATATTCAATAACTCCTCTTATTGTTGGCTTAACAGTTCCATGTTCATCCAAATGAGATCTAATTGCCCTAATTTAAGATGAATTTGAATCTCCAAGGTGTTTTTTCAAAAGGCAACTGGTGTTTCTTGGTTTTTTTTTCCTTTGAAAAAGGTTTTGCTTCTCCTCCAAGAAGCTTCTTCAGTTCTAACTGATGGTTGGGATGCAGATGGGCTGCTGAATCTGCAAGGCAAGGGTGACTCTTTTGAAGTCAGCAAAGTCCACATTCTGGACAGAGAGGACCACAGGTTTGAAAGAGGGGCCAAAGAAGCCATCTGTATTAAAACTGAACAACTTGCTCTCAACAGAGGGCAAAGGAACCACCTAACTCCTAATTACAATGCAGTCCTTTCAGCCGCCCCAAGAAAATTCCACACCCATTTGCACTCTGATTCAGCTGACCCTGAGGATACAGGTAAATCCTCAAGTGGCCTCAACGACTCTCAGGGAGAGTGCTAATGACCAGATGACTACAAAGAATATAAATCCTTCCATTCCCCCACCAGTCAGTTAGAACGGAAGAAGCTTCTTAAGTGAGAAGCAAAATATCTTCAAAGGAGAAAAAAAAAACAAGGAAGCCCAGTTGCTTTTTGGAAAAGCACCTTTGAGACAACCAGGACCTGGATGAATCGGAATCTGCACAAACAGGTGAATTTTGAGTGATATAATCTCTCCCTTCTGCTGATAGGTAATTGGGAAAGACGAGGTGGCTGTACCGTCTCATCTCTACAAAGTCATTCTCGCCAGGCAGAGTGAAGTTCTTCAAGATCCTTTGCTACTTGGAGCCTTTGTGATACCCAACCGTCCTATTGGATTTGACCATCAGCTCCGGGAATTCCAAGTTGGCATTGAAGATCTGGAGAAGATGTCTGGCCTTATTTTCTTTCCAGAAGTGAATAAATCTGAAGATGTTAGAAATATTTGCGAGGTTGATACTTGTAAGCTAATGACCTTGGAAGAGTTTACTTTGTATATCACAACTCGGAAACTACAGAATGCAAGGACTCCAGAAAGGCTAGCGAAAATCATGTCTGAGTTACGTGAAAAAGGAATTGAACCGGATGAGTATCTCTTAAAGGTTTATAACAAGAAGAAAGAAGAATTAGCTGGAAAAAAAACAGCAGAAGTTAGAGAAAGAAAAGTTGGTTGAACTTAAAAAGTTTGGTGTTGTATTTTCAGAGATGTAGCTATTAAGGAAGCTTTCATAACCATTCTCTTTGGCTCTGCTCCTGTGATAAAAATATAGAATTTGCTGTATAAAATTGAAACATTTCTCTGTGCTGGAGGTTGGTAATGGTACTTTCCTAAGTTAGCTATCAAATATTCAAATTTATGGGAATTCTTTCATGAAACGCTAGAAAAAAAACCTACTGGGAATATAAGCAGGTTTTTTTTTCATTGCTATCTGTTCAATGCTTTTCTAATATATTTGCTTTAGAACTGTTTTATTCTTTCCTGTTAAGATTATATCACTGATTTTAATTCGATATTTTTAAGAATAATATCTATTATTTTCTTTCTTCTTCCTCCCCACTCCCCATTCAACTGCTTTCTTCATGGGAATTTGATTAAATCTGCAATTCTGATTTAAAATCTGGGTATACAGCATAAACCACACACACTCTGTTTAAATGTCTTACAATAATATCTCACATTGAGCTCACATATACCGCTATGGTTTGTTAACTGTGATGTAATTACAAAAACATCAGTGACTGGATTTACAATCTCTTGGTCAGGCAACTTACTAAAGTAAAACCAAATGACCCATATAATATCTTGGTGTATGAATCCAGCCATTTGAGTATCTTTACTTCTCTACTAGGCCAGCTCAATTTTTTATTTTTGCCAGCTATTATTTTTTTAAAGGAAACTGATTGCTTTTTGTTTGTAGTAATATATTATTATAATATATTAATGGTATTACTATCCTGAATTTAAATCTCTCTTGATTCTTCAGACTAAGCAATTCTTACTACCATCACAGGGACCTCATCTTTAGATTGGCCAACTAACATCCTGTTTTAACACATTGCTTTTATTTTTTCCCCCATATGCAACTTGTTTATTTGACAGATGTTGATGTCCTGAGAGTGTTATTTTGTGATTTTGAGTAAAGTGTTTTGAAATAAAGATTTTCCCAGGATTTCTATTCTGACTTCTGTTCTCCCCCACCCCCACCCCCCAAAAAAATTATAGGCTCACGTATGAGACCCTGCCTTAGTTTTTTCTGTGCAGGTGTGTGTTTACACAAAGTTATGTTTTGCTGTTTTCCTTTTGTTGTTCCACCTTTACACCACAGTTTCCATCACAAATTGCTTTTTAAGCTGCAAAAATGAAAAGGAAAGACTATTTTTTTAAAGGGGAAAGAAAATGTTTACATCTGTTCCAGTGATTCTCTAAATCACAGCTGGAGCCTCAATTTTAATGTATAGCTTTTGTGTTAGAGAGGCAAATATTCTAAAGGAAATGTTTCTAGACTCTAATGGGGTTGTTCATGGCCACAGCATGAGTTGTAGACCAATTTTAATGATTTGGCAGCAGGATTGGGCATTTGACCAATCCTCACAAAAAAAAGGGGGGGGATTGGTAGTTTTGTTACAGAAAAGACCAGTACAATATAGCAATCAAGGTATAGTTAGTCCTTGATGTAGGTCCACCATTGAGCCCAAAATTTTCATTGTTAAACAAGGCAGTTGTTGAATTGCACCTCATTTTATGACCTTTTTGCCACAGTTGTTAAGCAAATCACTGAAAGTGTTAAATGAATCTGGTGTTTCCCACTGACTTTGCCTGTTGGAAGTTGGCTGGGGAGGTCACAAATGGTGATTACGTGACCCTGGGACGCTGCAACTGTCATAAGTACATGCCTGTTGCCAAGCATCCGAATCTTGATCACGTGACCAGGGGGGAGGCTGCAATAGTCATAAATGTTAGAACCAGTCATAAGTCACTTTTTTGAGTGCTGTTGAAACTTTCAACAGTCACTAAAAATGGTTGAAAATCGGGGACATCCTGCATTGAACTTAAGTGGAGACTCCATGGTTATCTTTTTCTTTTTTCTTTTAGAAAACAAATGGAGAATTTAAAAGTGGTTGTTGAAACTGGCATTTCAGACTAGAAGGAAGGAAGGAAAAGGATTATACCCGTAGAATTTAAGAAACCTTTAATCCATCTCATCTTGACGTATTCAGCAGTCTGGTTTGATTATTTAAAACTCAACACTTTATTTAAAATAAAAAAGGTTGCTAGGGCTACGTTGCATTTGCATATATGCTTTATAATTAAACTCCAGAAATGTATAGCAGCAATATAAGTATATTCTTGATTTTTTTTAAAGGGCTCCTGTTACTTAAAAAATATCAGAGGAACAAAAAAGACAACAGAGAGTAATTGATTTGTTCTGCAATGTAACATATTCAAGTTTACCAAGCTTCACATCAGAAAAATACTTACTGAAATTTTCTATATAAAATGCTTCCACTCTTTCTGAAAATTAGCATGCTATGGATTTGATTAATTCTGAAATGCTAGTTTTCCAGGAGATAAATACTTCCAAAACACTGATATCCTCCAGTGTTGGGATCCCAGCTCCCTAAATTCCCAGTGAATAATGCCAAAGTTGGCAAGATGGCTGGAGGTTTCTGGGATTCCAGTCTAATCTAGAGTAATTTTGAGATTTGGCTTTCCCTCTTGCCAAGAATTTCACTGAAAATCCACAATCCTCGATCTTTAGAGGGCACTCAAGAGCTGCAAGAATTGTTGGCTTATCTCACCAAATTCTTTAAAAATTTAGAAAGCTCTGCTGTAACAGATTCTGTACCATTCCGAACAAAATAGCTGTCCAGTCTCTTCTGAAAAACTCCAGTGATGGAGTTTCCACAGCTTCCAGAGGTAAGCCTTACCATTGATTGTTCTCATTGTTATATTCATTCATTCACTCACTCACTCACCCACTCACTCAACGTTTACTAAATTTCTACCCTGCCCGTCTCCTAAGTGACTCTTGGTGGTTCACAACAATATACGGAAATAAAACACAGGTCTAAAAAGTTTTGGGGAGATTTCTGTGAAATGTGGGAATATCACCAAGGAGAGTTTGCCAACCTAATTAATCTGTCTGGCAGGTGTTGTTACTCACATTTACAGACTGATAAATCCATATGGCCTGTTGGTAGAGTGCAGGTACTATGCAGATAAAAGTAGAAGAACGGGGCTTCCAAGTTAGAGACTAATATGCAAGCATGACTATATTTTTAGGGAAATTGTGAACGTTTCAGTAAAAATAGCAAATTGAAGATGAATGTGCTTCATGGCTGGTAAAGGATGAGTGAGGAAATAGATTTTCATGGCATCTCTAAATTGCTTCCCCTTCTTTACCAAAGTGCTTGGTTTGGGTTTTCTTGTCCTTGATGCATGAGATTCCATTGAAGATCTGAATCAAGCAGGACTGCAGACAGGCTTCGTGATATTTGAGAAATTGGTTCTCCACAAAATACAATGGAATACAGCAAGCATGGATATAACAGTGCTCTTTCAAGCAGCAAATTGAAGGACTAACCACTTGGTCCTGAGATGAGGGGAATACACTCAGGAAGATTCCCCTATTGATTGAGTCTTTTTTTAACTGATGGTGACAATATGATTATTGGAAATGTTAAGGTTCTGACCAGAAATTGGACAACAACAAAAAAAGTCAAGATGGCAGCTGGAATGCACGGATGAGAATTGGAGACTTCCGTTCTATATTAACTTTTTTCTTTTCAAAAGCCTCATTCAATCTCTTCCCCCAATATCTAATTGTGTAGATTTTCCAGGTCAGAAGAAGCTTCTCCAAATTTTATGGGAAAACAAAGTAGCATAATCGGGCAAAATGTTCTTGGCCATTTCAGAACAAAACATTCCTTGTTCTTGTCATTTATCTCAAGTTTTGAACTAAATGGGAAATCTCATTTCTAAAGTTTCCAAAAGGAGCAATGAGCACTTGAAACAAAACTAGGTTTTTTTCTTTATTTAATTATAAAATCACAGAAGTTTTTCAAAGAGTAGAGGCAAGAACTACCTATCTGTTCTACAAAACTATTGGTTGGAAGGAGTTTAATGCAATCATGCTAAAACTCAGGAAAACATTGCTAATTTTTTTCAGGTTGGTCATTAAATGTTGGTTACTCAGTCTGGGATTCCTGTGTAAACTAGAGACTAAAACTGAGCAAGTTTCTATTTCATTAATGTTTAATAACGTTAGGAACTCCTATTGCCAATTTTCAGCAATCACGCCACCACATTTTCTAAGTTTCTATTCAGCACGATTCTGTTTCTTTCTCCTCCTTTTGCTAGCAAATAATTTTTCAGAGATTTGGAACTTTTTAGCAAGGAAAACAAAAACAAAAGAGTAAAAATAATAAATGTTTAGAGATAAGGATCGGGGAATCACTGATAAGAATCTAAGCTATAAATCAAGAAAGGCTGTTTTTCAAATTTGACTTTTTTCAGTTACGAGGCCCTGTAAAGATTAATAAACCTCTTTTAGAGGGATCTGGTGAAGAAGACAGCAAGATAAATGCATGAATGCATGGATAGTTAAAGAGGTATGTAAAAACAATTGACAGGTAGTCCTTGATTTACAACTATAATAGAGCTTGCCTATTAGGCTGTAAATCATGATAGTTGTAAAGCAGGTCACCCACATGACCGACCCAATTTTACAACCTTTTTTGTACCATTAAGAGAACCCATTGCTTGCTATGGGCAGTTTTTGCCAACAACTGGAAATAAATGTTTTTTTGGTTTAAAAAAAAAAGAGTCATTGGTCATGTGACCAGAGCATGCTGCAAAGAGCCATAAATATGAGCCAGTTGCTGAGCATCCAAAATGCAGTCACATGACTAGGGGGGGGTGATCATCAGAACCAGGTTTTAAGTACTTTTGGGGGGGGGGGGGCGAGAGGTTGATCATAAGACCAGTCATAAATTGAGGACCAGCTGTATTACAACATTTACTTTGGAAACAGGGTAAGCAAACATGGAGGGCTGGAAAATTTCATTCCTCTCTAAACTGTTAAAAATCATACACCTTTTCTAAAAATTCTGCTTATCAACTTCTCTGCCAAGTATACACATTTTTGGCAGTAATTGCCTGGAACCTGTAGATCAGTGGTTCTCAACCTTTTTAATGCCGCGACACCAACCGGTCGTAAGTCGAGGACTAAACCGGTCGTAAGTCGAGGACTTCCCCTGCCCGGGAGCGCCGCGCATGCGTGGTTCCACCCCCTGCGCCGGCCGAGGCGTAGCTGGCAAGTGGCAGAGACGGAGCAGGCCGACCACCAGCTGGCCCAGCTCAAGGGAGGTAAGGCACCCGCCGGAAAAGGGGGAAAAAATGGCGGAGAAAAAAAATGGTGGAGAAAAAAAATGGCGGACAGCCTTGCTTGGTGACCCCCATGAAATGGTCGATCGACCCCAAATGGGGTCCCGACCCACAGCTTGAGAACCACTGCTGTAGATGATTCTTT